GCCTGCCTTGGGGATGAGGAATCTGCCCAGGGAGGGCGAGGGGAGGAACGATAGAGGAACGAGGAACATGAGGAGCATCAACAGGGAATGGTGGGGGATGAGGATGGTGACCAGAGGATGGTATGGGCGAGCGCTGATAATGCTGCTGCTGATTGTGATGCTGATGTTGAGGTGAAGGCGAGGGCCATGACGATGATGCTGGCGATGTCCTGGCGATGACAATACGTATGATAACGATGATGTCTTTGATGTTGATGTTGATGTTGATGATGGAGACGATGATGATGATGATGATGATGATGCTGATGCTGTCGATGGTGAAGCTGATGATGCTGATGCTGATGATACCGGTGATGATGTTGCTGATGATGGTGGTGATGCTCATGGTCATGCTGATGCTGCTGCTGATGGTTTTATTGCCGATGCCCGGCGCAGATGCCAATGCAGATGCGGAGGAGGAGGAGCCCCACCGTAAACCCAGGATACATCAAGGATGCTGCAGGACACCCTCTTGTTCCAAGGTTATTCTCGTAAGTCCTACCTACACACACTTCTTTCACTGCAGGAAGCGTTCCTCGAATGATCGCCTGGTGGGCCTGCGACTCAGTCGATACCTCATTCGGTAAAGGACCCACCCTGCATCCCCGGAGATCTGATGTTTTTGTCTTCTGATGTTTTTGTCTTCTTCTAAAGAGGAAAGACGCCCCACGGGACGTCCGACCATTTCCCCAGGGCCACTTTTTGGTCCCGGGGATTATTGCTTTGCCCCAGAGCCCAGCGAGGGCCCCCGAAGGCCGAAGCTGGCGAACATCATCGGGTTTGCGTTTTGTTCTTCAATGCGCTGGATGTCTGGGTCCGTCTATCTGGACGAAGCGCGGATTCAAGGACGTGGCCAACGATGGTTCTCTTCTGCTTCTGCTTCAATCGAACCCACCAGGGGTTCAGCGGCTCATGCAGAGGAGGACGAGGAGGAGGAGGAGGAGGAGGAGGAGGAGGAGGAGGAGGAGGAGGAGGAGGAAGAGGAGGAGAAGCAGGAGGAGGAGGGGGAGGAGAAGGAGGAGGAGCTGCCTCGGCGGTCCGCCGAGCCCAGCTCGCACGGCAGCTCACGCCCGGCGCCGGCGCGGCGAGCAGCGCGCTTTCGTCGAAAACTTCGCAGGGGCTGCCCGCGCCACGCACTTCGGCAGCGCTCCGGGGGCGCTCGTGCACGCGCGCGCCGCCTTCCGTCCCTGGCGGCTCAGCGCTGGATCTGGCCCCGCTCTCGAAGCAGCCTTCAGTGCCCCGCCGTCATCCACGGCGGGCGGGGGGCGGGCGGACCTCGGCCTCCTGGAGAAGTTCCACGCGGGGCGCCCATGGGGGGGGGGGGGGGGGCGGGCCGGGGCCGCGCCGCAGGGCGGGAAGCCTGCCCCTGGGGGCGACGTCGAGGCCTCCCGACAGGGGTCCGAACGCGCTTGGCGCTGGAAGGATGCGGTCCCACTTGCGTGCGCCGCAGTGTTTTTTTCCTGCTTTCGGTGCTGGTGTGCAGTTCGCAGTGCACTGCTGGCGAGGGTGGGGCCTCTAGGGCAAATGTTTGCGGAGGTGGAAAAGCGCTGCTGCAATCCCGCCCTTCCCGCCTGCTCTAAGCTGTGTGCGCAACTATGTTTTTAAAAGCTGAGTGCAGAACGATCTTGCCCCCGTGTGCCAACGCGACTGTGTATCCAGTTCCTTGCCCGACGTCTGGCCATCTTCGCTCAGGTGCTCGGCCGCTTCTGAATAACACTTGGGCGTTGCTGCTGGCCCTTGCCGAGGCGGGCGACCGCGGAGGAAAGTCGAGAGCGAGTGGCAGCCCTCCATACGACCTTCACGGGAGGCAGGCCGCCGGGTTGGGTTGAGAGTGTTTGGTGGCGATCCATACGACCCTCCGGGACGGGGGCCTGGCCGCCAGGCCCGCAGAGTCCCCCTTTTGCCGAGCCCTTAGTCGGGCGAAGAGAATTGAAACAAAACTCCTGAGAGGACGTGTGGCCACACTCACGGCCAAAATGAAGCTGACGCCCTTGGTCAAGGAAACCGACGGCACGCGCAACTTCGTGGGCGGCCACGTTGTCGCGACCAACTTTGTCAAGTGCCACTGCTGTGAGGAAGATCGCGGCTTCGTATCGCTCTGCGCCTTGGCCTACGGGGAGGGTGAGATTCGATGGTTCCAGAGCATCAGCTCGGCCGTCGCACGCGGGCAGTTCGCCAAGGCCATGGGCGGCGAGTGCTCGTGGACGTTCATCAACAGAGTCCCGAACCCCTTTACGCCCGTGCCGCTACGTGTGCTTCAGGCGCCACTGGAGCAAGCAACGTAACGATGTGGGGGTTTTGGCTCAAGCCGGGGACCGATCGCCTGAATGCCGGATGTTTCAACTTGAGGGGCCAGCAGAAGAAGGGGTCGCCGTCGTGGCAGGCCAAGCCCATCGAGCTCGCCATGGAAGCAGAGCTCGCGAAACGCAAGGACGGTCCAGTGGTACCAGATGCCCAGTTGAAGAAGATTTTCGAGGCCATCGTTGTGGACGGGCGTCTGGGCGCTGTAGCGGGCTTCGCGATCGCCATCGGTGGGGATGCCGCATCATGCATGTGTGCCCTTGCCGCAAGACGCCCCCCCTGAAGCCGAAAGGCTGGGTGCGCTGCGCGGCGCCCGCCAGAGGGCGCCGGAGGCGCGCGTGCAAGAGTTGCGGCCGCAGGTGGTCGGGGATGGGCACGGGCGCGCGGGGGCGCCGCGTCGCCATTTTCCCGTCGCGCCACATCATCGCGAGGGCGGCGTGGAGATGGCCCGCGACAAGGCGCAGCCCGGATGGCCAGGCGGGAGGTTTTTTTTGGGCCAGGGGTTCCCCGAGCAGGAGGGCGCGCTGGCGGCCCTGCGGGCGGCCGAGCTGGCGTTCGCCATCAACGCCGCGAGAGAGGATATTCCCAAAGTGCACGGGTTGTCAGAGAGGGGGCGCGGCGCAGTTGCCGGCGCCGTCGACTTCGGCAACGAGGAGGCGTGTGAGAAGACGTGTTCGGGTTCTTGCAGGTTTGTTTCTATCGCCAGGGCGCGCGCCCTTCCTGGGGCAGGTTCGCGGACAATTGCCGCGCCTTTCGCCCGCCCGAGAGATGTCTCATGCTGAGCGAGGCGAAGCGCGACAACGTGATCAATTGTCTGGGTTCGCGCCGCATCAGCGAGCGGCGGGGCGCGCCTCGCTGGAGTTTTGCGCTGGCCGGCGGCCGCGGAATTGCGCGAATTGGATTCGAGCGCTCCGAATTGCATTTCGATGGCGCTGCGAAAGCAGGCGCCATCGGGCCGCGTCGCGACGACGTCTGACCGGGTCTGGCGCCGCCGCCAAAACCGGCCCCGTCCTTGAGCCACTAGTGCATTCGGATTTTTTTGGGCATTTTGCAAGTGTGGGGGCCCTCGTTGGTTCGAGCGAGAAATCCAAACCTATCCGAATGTATCCAAAGGTATCCACAGATAAGCATATATTTATTCAATTCGAGCCAGACGATTTGGGGTTTGCTCTGGCATTCGGGATTCCATATGTGGGTCGGACAACGCGCCGCCCAGTCCACCGGCCCCCCTCCCCGTCGGGGGGCCAGCGCGCATTGCAGGGTTTTCCGCGCTCGCGTTGCTGTCGATTGCAGGGGGGGCGGGCGGGGGGGGGGGGGGCGGGGGCAAACCTGGCGCTTCAAGATGCGAGCGCAACCGCGCGATGCGGGTGCCGAGGCGAGGTCGAGTTCACTCCGAGAGAAATCATCCAATTCCCGTGGGGCCAGCGCTCTAGCGAAGGGTCACTCTTACGTGTAATCGAGGGCCCAGGGCGCGTCGAGGGCGACGGTCGCCTCGTGCTCGGGGGCGGGTGGATCGCGCGCGGCCGAAAGGCGAGCCTTCCCTCCCGGCGGATGCCCGCAGGAGGCGCGCCACTTGAGGGTAGCCCGAAACCCTGCAGCGATTCGGCCGCGCCCGCAAACAGCCAGAAGTTGTCGGCGTAGAGAAGTCCCGCCTCGCCCAGCGTCGCCTCGCCCGGGAACTCGCAGCCCCGGCCGCGCGCCCAGCATTCGCCCGGGAACTCCTCCCAAGCATCCTCCAGCACGAGATTTAAGATAATCGCGCTGGCTGGATCTCCTTGTCGAATGCCGCGGGTCCGAGGTGTTGGTTGCGTCTGGATCGAGCCCATCTTGATCACCGCCGATGCCATCAAGTCCCGCATGATGGCGAGGGCCGCGGGCCTTGGCGCAGCCCTGCTTCTCAGTGTCTCCTCAACCGGGCGGTGCGGGGCGCGGTCGAGCGCCGCCTCGACGTCGCCGTCCACGATGAAGATGGGTCGGTTCCTCTCGCGGGCCTTCTCCGCCAGCATGCGCATGCTGAAGATCGCGCCCGTCGCTTGGTGGAACTTCCGGTAGACGCACTGTGGGCTCCGCAGGGCCAATTTGTTGGCGCACTTCTCGACCGGGCCAACCGAGTAGAGCTTCTCGAAGGTAGTCAGGGGCGCGATCGGCCTGCACCCCTTGAGCGTGTGCTCGTCTCCCTTCTTTTTCATGAGCTGGATGATGCGCTTCGACCAGGCTCGGCCCCTGGCGCGCTCGGGCACCCCGCGGGGGCGGTCTTCGAAGACGGCCGCGAGCGAGACGAGGGTGCCGCCGTCAGAGGAGGGGCGGCTGCCGCGGCAACGCGGACAGCGCTGGGGGGCACTCGAGGCCCGCGAGGAGGACGCGCCGGTGCCGCGCGATTCGGAGCGCCCGCAGGCAGGCGCCAGTCGCGCTGGGCAGGGGCCAGATGGGGGGGCGCAGTGGACTTGGATGCGCGAGCTGTGAATGAGCCCGATGACCAGGCTGGCGCGCGGTTCGGGGGGCGCAGGGGATCGGACAGATGCCGAATTCAGACGTCGGCGCGGAGTTCGCCGAGGCCGCGAATTTCCGCGCGGAGGTGCTCGGGCGGCCGATCCCGCAAGAGGAGTGCGGATAAGTGTGAGTGTGTGTGTGTGTGTGCTTGTGTGTGTGTGTGTGTGTGT